TAGCACTATGTTGTATATTTTTAGTTATATGCAAGTTTGTTTCTAGCAAAATCACGATGACAAAGCTTTCTCAATACTTGGATCCGATTTAAACACATCTTCAATGCTTAAATCAGATCCAAGTTCTAAGCCCGCAGGCATGTAAATCTGATTAGTTTAAAAGTCCTTGGCCTCAAGGCATAAAAAAGAACTTTATGTAGACTTAACCCATCCACGACAATCCTTGATAAACGAGAAGTCCGAAGTTACTTGGGGCGCAAGTAATCGACCTACCTTCTAGTTTTCTTTCTATTATATCATGATTATCATAGAACGCTTAAGCATGAGATGGACTCTAATGGAAAGCCTCAAGGCCTACACCTAAGGCCTCACAAAGGCATCCATTTGGATTCATCCTATTCAGCGATCTTAAGAGTCTAAGCATAAGAATGAACTCTGATGGGAAGCCTCAAGGCCTACACCTAAGGCCCCACAAAGGCACCCATTTGGGTTCGTTCTATTCCTTGGATTCGGGTAATCAGAAATATAATAGTTAGAAGACTCCTACAATCACAAGAATACATATGATGCGTTCGAGTACTGGTTTAGTTATTTATGGGAAGCCTCAAGGCCTACATTTAAGGCCCCACAAAGGCACCTGTTATAATTAACACGGTTTCTTGGATACATATATATATATACAATGAAAGAACGACAACCATTTTACATCTGCCATGCTAAAGATGGCAGTGGCACGCCTGAGCACCTAAATGTTAACCTTGATTGTGAGCCTCAAGGCCTATACCTAAGGCCCCACAAAGGCACCTCTCAAAGTTAACGCTGTCCTTCTCTTTCAGCCTTGCCCGAAGAGCCTTGCCCGAAGAGTCTTGCCCGACGAGACTTGCCCGACAACGCCCAGAAACGAAGCAGAAGCCCGACAGCAGCCCTCAACCGGCGCCAACCTCCAGGGGAGCTGTGTGCTCGTCGGCCAGGAAACATCCCCAGCGGAAATTCCTGCCACGAACAATGAGCAGAGCAAAAGAATCTGGAAATGAAAATTTGAATCTCTATCGTTTTAGAGTTTTTTTATTTTGATCATTGTGATGGATAATGTGTCGATATAATTGTCGCCAACAACAAAATGTTACATATCTTCTTTCAGCTATCGTTTCTGCCATTTTTTGTTCTATGGTTTTGCCGACTTTGATATCATATCTTCTTTCAGCTACCCTGAATATACTCGGTTGCTTCCATGTCCCTCAGACAATGGACCGCCAAGAATCGAGCACTTGGTTGTTTCAGAAGGGGGGCCTGTACTAGAATATATCTGCAAAGTTCTGGATCTTCCTCTTCAGTGAGTTCTGCTCCTTTTGTCTTCTAATTGTTTTTTTGTTGATGTATGGCATATGATTTCCGTCATTATCAAGTTCGAGTTGATAAATAGAAAAAAAATTTCATTCTTTGAAGGTTTGTTGCAGATCTCATCCATTTTGGAGCTGTATATTATGCCCTTGTCTGTCCACGGCCTCCTCCAACTGCAACCCCAGAGCAGATGAGGGTATTTAAAGAAGTTACAGCACCATCAGTACTAAAAGATAGAGCTTCCATCAAAGGAAAAACTATAAGAGAAGCACAGAAGACTTTCCGCATAACACATCCAGACCAATTTGTTGAAACTGGAACCTACTTACGTGTTCATGTACACCCAAAGCGTTTTCCTAGGTAAAACACAATGTTTTACGCGTCCTTATTATAATTTTTACTAGTGTTATTCTTGTTCACATCAAATTTTGATCAGGTGCTATGAAATTGACTGGAAATCAAGAATTGTAGCTGTAACTGATGATTTCGTGGTTTTGGACAAACCTGCTGGTACAACAGTACGTATCATTACAGACACATTTCGATATCTGTTATCTGGCACTATCAAATGTTTTTTGAGTAGTTAATTAGTTGCTTACATCAACTATGATTCAATAACAATTTTTGTCCAGGTAGGAGGAACTACAGACAACATCGAAGAAAGTTGTGCAACCTTTGCCACTCGTGCCTTGGGACTAACAACACCCCTGATGACTACACATCAGATAGATAATTGTACAGAAGGGTGGTATGTTCTATTATACTAGTTTGTTGTCTTTCTTGTTGTTGAGACTCAAGACAGAGAGGGTAATGGTACTCACTCACTTGCAGTGTTGTCTTAGCTAGAACCAAGGAGTATTGCTCAGTTTTTCACGGAAAAATCAGAGTAAGTTTTGCAATTTCATGCGTTGGCATACATAATTTTGATAGCCATAATTACTGGGAGGGGGAGGGCGGAGTGTGATAACTCAGAAGCTGAGGGGTTCCTTATTACTTCCCTCCAACATGGAGTTTGTTTTCTTTAGGTCATTAAGTTTATTTATCTTTTCTTTCACCCAGGAGAAAAAGGTGAAGAAGCATTATCTTGCTCTTGCCGCTGCCCCTGTGCCAATTGGAACAATTACTCACTACATGCGTCCAATTAACATGGCTCCAAGACTCATTTCAGAAGGTAATAGTCTATGTCAAGCACTGCATAGAGACTAGTTTGGTGTTTGAGGAGTTGCACTTTGAATGTGTCAAGTGCCTTGAAGGATTTACATCCTCACCACATTGTTTTGCCAATATCTTTTCTTTCTGTTTTCCTATTTGGAGCTGAAATGACACCTTCAGTGTGTGCTGCTTGTGTGCAGAACTAAAAACCATTATTTCTCACGACAGGCATTTGGTGGGATGATTCAAATAGACAGGACATGACCGTTGTTTGAAGCAATTTCACGACAGGCATTCGGTTTTTATAGCTGTTTTAAAAGCCAATTTAAAGTTTTAATTAATTGAAGCCCACCCATAGAAAGCTTTCTTTAACTTGATGTAACATCTTCACAACCACAGTTGAAGAAACAAACTTCGTGAATAAAAATATACTTTGTAAAATTTTTACTCTTGGTAGTAAACTCCTTCTGTATGAAGCTAAACAATTATTGGCAACGCAGATTTCATGGAACGGTGGAGTTTGTGTCAACTTGAAGTCATGGAACGCAAGGAGGTTCCCTGGCCAAGTTCTGTTGTTGAACAGAAATATTGTGTTGAAGACTGTGGGTGGCCTTCAAAAGAATATGCATATGAGTGTAAAATCAACCTTCTGACTGGGCGGACTCATCAGGTTAGGAGCAAAAATCTATACTGATACATTAATTCAATTAGTTTCATTTTCTTTTCAGACTCTGATTTGGAGCGAGATGGTGATCATTTTCTCAATTTGTGTTTTTTTTTTTTTTTCCTGTGAGCTCTGAGATATGGTCTTATTAATATTGGCTTTAAATTGGCTCAAATAAAAGGAGACATCCTGCTGCTTCAAGAATATAATATTTCGAAAGGAATAAGATTTTCAGTAGTTTAGAATTCAAGATTTTGGGAAGATGAGTTATAACTAAATATCTAAAAACTTTGACTTCTCCGTTCTTTGGCACAAGGAATGTATAACTTGAATCTTACATGGTTACCGTATTCTGTTTCCATTAGTTATGTCATTGGATTCTAAGGAACTAGGAGTTAAAAGAATATCGACGATTCTCTTAATAGTTTGTGTTGCAAGTAAGGTCAGATAATGATAATTTCTTTGGAAATAACTACATTGACGATGCAGGTTCGAGCACAACTGGCAGCGCTTCGTGCACCAATAGTTGGCGATTCCATGTACATGCCAGCTGCAGTTGCAGAAATGGCAAGTCCTGGGCGGAACCCGTTTGGCAAATATAAGAAGCATTATACTCATGTAACTGATAAAGAAGTTGCGATCGAAGAGTGGAGTGCACAGCATGGGAAGGAACCTGGTGTTGCTATTGGTCTTCAAGCATGTCAGATATCATGGGATGATGGGAAGTACACTTTTGAGGCTGGAGCTCCTTGGTGGAGGTGCCAATAAAGTCAGAAGAGGTGGATGCCGATCGATTGCATGGTATGGTATTCTGCCTGTATCATATGGTTGATTTCTATAATTACAAGGTACAATGTAGACATACTTTAGCTTATAAGTTCAGATATACCTGCCCTTGTATTTTGGTAATCTCTCTCTCAAACCTCATCCATGGTATGGCGCAGCAACCTTAAATAACCATTGTAGGGCGCAGCAGGCCAGATCAAATCTTATGCACTCATGGTGGGTGTGACCTCTTTGTGGCCCCAATTATTACCTAACACGTGTTTATAAACTCATTTTGAGTACAAAAGATTTGATCACGCAGCAGGGCGAGGACAATACTCTCCCCAAACATATAGACATCGCATCACTCCTTCCAAATCACCCAACAGCGAATGCCCATGAACCTAACGAACTGAGCTTCATGAGTGGTGGAAAACTCCCACAAAACCCTAACAAATCCCAAAATGATTAAAACATGGTATTACGTCGGAATGGAAACGGACTATTGGGCTACCGAATCGGATTATTATCGGATCATAAGAGATACTAGATTTGAATCATTAACGAACTGTCGGATTGAAGTCTCAAATCTATATCCTATTAATTACATTGGATTCGGGATCGAAATCCAATTAAAGTACAGGTGTAAAACCAAGAAGAAGAACAAAGATAAATCATATCGTGTAATACAAGTCATGACAGCTGCAAATAACTAATTCAAAGTCGTGTTTATTGCGTTATTTAATGTCTTGGTCTTCTTTGTATTCGAAATGGCACCGAGAGTAAAATAAGAAACAAAAGACCTATGTCTTAAGAAATTAAATAACTTAGCCTTTAAAAGTGAAACCGTGTTTGGAATTAAAAGTTAAAAAGTAAAAATTCAAGGTCAAATTTTGAAAACTCAAGGAAGTAGTTTTTAGTTTTCAATGTTACCAATCAAAATTATAGTTTTCAAAAAAGTGAAAACAAAAACTGAAAGCTAAAAACAAAATGGTTATCAAACGCTCTTATATATATTAGATTGTTGCGATGCAGCATAACAGCAGTAATATGTATTAGTTAATAAGTCTTTTATTCCTCAAAGAAAAGTACATTTGATTAACGCACAAAGCGATCTACAACATTGGAGAAAATTTTGAAAATATGCATAACGCCATGACCTACTCAAAGCTAAAGGGCCACAAACTCCCCAAAACCCTACAATGAAACCAAGAGACACTGAAATTTGAAGCCATGGAATTCCATTCCCAGAGTCATGTACATCTTCCTGGTCCTTAGTCGTATCACTATCACCTGGACTCTTCTTCTGGCACTGATTTGGAAGCGGGGAACCGCAAAGTCCCGGGTTACCCTCAAAGGCAGTAGCATCGAAGCTTTGGAGCTGAGTGCCTAATGGTATTTGGCCATGGAGGTTATTGTAGGCAACACTAAACGTAGACAAGAAATTAAGACCTGATAGTGATGCTGGGATTTCACCTGAAAGATGGTTTCTTGAGAGGTTTAATGTCTCCAAGTTTCGGAGGTTCGAGATTTGGTGTGGAATGTTGCCAGACAAATTGTTAAAACTAATATCCAGTCGCTGGAGAAGTTGCAATTGCCCAATATCGTGGGGTATATTGCCACTTAGACTGTTGTTGCTGAGGCTGATTGCTGTCCATATGTTGGACAAATACTTGACCTGTAACGTAACTACAGGCCCATTAAAGTTTTGGTAGTAGAGGGGCAGCTCTAAATCGTCGTGACCTGTTTGAGTTGCAGCCTTTTCCGACCTGAGAGCTTGTAGTCTGCAAAGCTCCTTTGGAAATTCACCTGAAATGAAGTTACCATCCAACTTTATATAGGATAGACTTGGAAGAGTCCCCAACCAACCAGGTATTGGTCCCGTGAGTCTGTTAAAAGACAGATCCAACGCTTTCAATTTCTCGAGCTTCGACAGCCATACAGGAACTTTTCCTGTCAATTGGCACCTTGACAAAGCGATAATGGAGATATTTTGGAACCCAGATGAATCAACCATGAGATCACCATCTGGCATTTCTTCTCCTAGAAAATTATTTGTCAAAAGGAGTATCCTTAAACTTTTGCAATCCTTCAATATCTTTATTGCCCCTGTGACATTGGTCAATCTGTTATTAGAAAGCGAAAGGAAAGACAAGGATTTTAAAGAAAGAATTTCATGTTGTAATTGTCCCTCTAGATCATTTAAGCTCAGTCGAAGTGCTATCAAAGACTTGCATGAGTAAACGCTTATTGGCAAGGGACCGGTGAAGTGATTATGGATTAGGTCAAGCTTAATAAGTTGACTAAGTTTGGAGAAATTAAGCACAGAGAGATCTCCTTCCAATTGGTTGAATCCTAGATTCAGTTCTGTAAGGCTTGAGCAATTCATCAGAGACGGAGGCAGAAAACTCTCTAGATTGTTCAAATGGAGGATTATGAGCTTCAATCTGGAGAGCTTCCCAATATGAAGAGGAAGTGCACCGCTCAGCTGATTAAAGTTGAGATCCAGGATTGCGAGGTTGGTAAGATTGGCAATGTTCTCACCAATGGCCCCGGAAAGCTTATTGGAAGGCAACGAAATTTCTTCAAGTGCTCGAGCGTTGTGAATATCACATGGAAGTGTCCCCAAAAGGCTATTGAAACCTGCACGAAAGAGCTCCAATTTTGAACAGTTACCAAGTCCAAGGGGAATTATGCCACTGAAATCAGTGTGGGAGAAATCCAAGCTTATAACAAAAGGAGAATAAGAACAGTTGAAAGATGGTATTTGGCCCTTAATGAGATTGTTGCTGACGTTTAAGTTGCTCAAATTCCATGCACGCTGGAGGAAAGATGATGGAGTTGTTCCGTTGAATAGATTGCTGGACAAATCCACTATTCGGATAGAACTTGGCGGTGGAGATAGCGGTAGTTCTCCAGAGAGAAGGTTGTAGCTCAAATCAAGGATCTGAAGGCGACCCAAGGACAGAAAGAATCCAGCTTCCAGGTGACCAGAAAGTATATTATGGGAGAGATTGAGGTAGGAGAGATGCGTGAGATTTCCAAGAGATGGAGAAATGACTCCTTTGAGGCGTTTGGAGGGCAACAACAGATGGGTGACCCTACCAGCCATATCACAAGTGATGCCCTCCCATCGACAACAATCGTTGGAAGACCAGTTTAAACTAGAAGAAGCGATGTCAAATGAAGCAAAAAGAGACTGTTGGTCCATTTTGCTGCAAGCAGCATGGGTTGTAGAAATACCGCTTGTGATAAACAAGATGTAAAGTGGGAGGACATATGATTTAGTTAGATGATTAGGCTGCACTGCCATGGTTCTTGTTGAAAGTGGCATGCAAGTATATTAGATTGCTCAAAGGTGTATACTGCTTTTATAGACAAAAGGATGTAGAAACAACATCGGAACACATAATTATGCGTGCTGGAAGGTGCATATTTGTAGAAATTGCAAACATACCACATCCTTGTATATAAACGGCCGTTTTTGCATGTTGTTAGCTATCCCATATCGGTGGGGGTAAAGAAAATACTGGGTTTAAATTTAATTACCCTACTCTAATTAATATTGATGTTTTTTGTGATATAACCACACACTTGACGAATTTGGTAAGTGGTAATTACCAAGTTGGAGACTCTATTGGTCTTGTTAGAGCGGGGCCCTCGGGCTCGTCGATCTAAAAATTCCAACATGGTATCAAACCGCACGGTTACAGGCCCGTGTAAACCAAAGGCTTGTCATCGAGAGGTGTCCTGAAAAGAGGCTTTGGTCACCAGGAAGTGTGGGTCCGGCATCTAAGTTCTTAAGAGGCACTTTCTGAAAAGATTGAAAACAAGTCCGAATTATATTGGATAGACCTTTAAATGGGCCTTGGGGGACCCGTAGATCTAAAAATTCCACGATTTTAGTCTTAGTCTATGGTAACGTTTTTTTCAAGCGAATGGGATTGAGAGGGAGGGCATGAACTGCCGAACAACACACCTCACCTTCTCCTCAAATCAAGGGAAAGAAATACTAAGCCCTGGTTTGGCATTGAGGTGCTTAAAAAAACAAGCTGCTTATTTTTGAAGTTTTTATGTTGAAGGTGTTTGGTAAGCTCAAAAAAAAAAAAAAGGATTATTTTAGAGGCTGTGGTGATTGATAGCTGAAATCATCAGAAAAGCCGAAGCAGCTAAATGCTGCTTTGGAAAACTGGTTTTTTTCCAAAGCACGTGGAGCTACATTGCATCTTTAATGAAACTTTATAAAGTCCAATAACACCCTCGTCCTCGTCATTTTTGCAAAATGACAGGCCTTGTCCTTAATACTCAAACTGGAATCTCTCAGACTCGTTCTGGAAGCATGCGTCAAATTGAAACGGCTCTGCCACCTGTGGAGCCAAAAATAATCAAGAGGCGACGCGTGGATTTTTGGGTAAAAAGGACAAAATTACCCTCGAGGCACATCGGGATTCCTACGCCCGAGCAGTGGACAATCATCCCACAATCAAGTCAAAAATGCCCAAAATAGGTAACAAATTCAAAGTTATTTCATCCATCCTCATCCTATATTTTCCACAAGGTAATTATTTCATAACCTTCAAAACATTCCATACAAATTGAGTTAATTGGCTAATTAATGGATTTATTTCATCCATCCTCATCCTATATTTTCCACAAATACATTTTCATAACTAATTAAATTTTTAAAAGTTGAAATAACTACAACGAAGGGATAACTTTGTCATACTAAGTAATATTTAAAGTTTGAGTTAATTGGCTAATTAATGGATTTATTTCTAATTAATCCATTAATTACCAATTAAATCACTCATTCACACAAAAATACCCCAAAGGGCCGGCCACCTTTTCTCAAACCCTGCTCTATATATTGAACCCCATTTTCTCTAAAAACCTAAGTCCACATTCTTGCAAAACTCCGAAAACTCTCTAAACACCTTTTTCTCTAAATTCTAACTTTGGCATCGGAGGTTCTTCGGCTAAAGCCCCCCCTCATTCATCGTGGGCGTGTGAGATTTTTGGCCTTAACCAAAGGTGTTAATTGTTTTGTAGGTGCAATTTTGTCCAAGATCAAGGAGGAAGAAATTTGCATCCATACCACATTCTCTAATCACCAAACCGGAAATGGCTTTGCAGATCTCCATCGTCCCTCGAACCCAACCCCATCTTTGCTTCAAATTGATTTCTCTCTCTCCTTCAAAACCTGCTGGATTTGTCTCCATCATCCGACTCATGAACCCACAACTTCTTATTCGAAAGATTTGGAGTTCGTCTGAATTTGGATTTGAGTTTTAGAAAGGCATCTTTTGGTATCTGACATGATGGGACATAAAGGTTGATGGATTGGAATTGGAGGCATTGGAGGTGGAGTTTTTGTCGGGTAAAAAGAGGTTGAAGGGGGAAGGACGGCGGAGTGAGATTGAAGCTCGTCGAAGAAGCCAACGCAAGAAACTAAAGCTTGCACTTCATTTTTCTTGACCGCCAAAGCTGCTTGATTTTGGGTTCTTGAGAGAGAAGAGTTTGAGAAAGGGATAACTTTAGGCATATCAACAAATACATTTTCATAACTAATTAAAATTTTAAAAGTTGAAATAACTACAACGAAGGGATAACTTTGTCATACTAATTAATATTTAAAGTTTATAAATATTTTCCTTTTAAAAATAAAGTATGTTTAGTAATTTACCTTTATTTGTTAAGAAAATTAAATTAATGGCACATCTAGTATTATATTTTTTTTTGTCATTTCACACAGTCACAGCTGTTGTACATAAAAGATTACAAAACACTATCAAACTTTTTATTTATTTATTTATTGTTACAAAAGCTTACAAAAAAGTTTACCAAACAATTTGCTGCTTTATTTTACAGCTGTTTATTCTCACAGCACAACATAAGTAGTTTTTTTTTAAACACAGCAATACCAAACTAGCCCTAAATACAAGGCACAATCAGCTGCCATAAATCAAAGGGGAATAGGTGGTATTCACAACTCATCACAAGACAAGGGTGTAGACATCGAAATTTCGGTAAATAAATGTTGACCGATAAATTAAAGTGTCAACGCTCATGTATTACATAAATTTTACACGTAGCGTGCGACTCAACGAAAATTGAAATAAGTTGGAAAAGTCATCAAATAGGACACGTGTCAACACCTGGCAGAAACAACTTATTTTATCTGGAATATTATATTCAAAATTAGGCATTGGAAATTTCTATAAATACAAGCCTATTTCATTCATTCAAAAAAACCAATTCATATTACACCTTGAAGCTCTGAAGCTCTGAAACTCCGAAGCTCTCAAGCATCCAGGTTCCCGAAGAATCAAGAAAGTGTTCTTCGTTCTTCGTTCATCGTTCTTCCAAGATCAAGCCTCGACGGCCCTTGGATCAACAATCATCCACCTTCAAGATCAAGCCCCGACGGCCCTTGAAGAAAACGTTCTTCGTTCTTCGTTCATCGTTCTTCCAAGATCAAGCCCCAACGGCCCTTTGGATCAACAATCATCCACCAATTCAAGATCAAGCCCCGACGGCCCTTGAAGAAAGCACCATCGTTCATCATCCGTTCATCCAAGATCAAGCCCCAACGGCCCTTTGGATCAACAACGTCGACAAATCCACACATCCAACCGTTCTTCAAGATCAAGCCCAAAAGCCCTTGAAGATCCGTTCATCACTGTTCTTCAAGATCAAGCCCAAAAGCCCTTGGAGATCCGTTCATCACTGTTCTTCAAAGATCAAGCCCAAAAGCCCCTTTGAAGATCCGCTCAAATCCACCTTCAAGATCAAGTCTACGGCCCTTGAAGAACGTTCATCCTTAGATCAAGCCCAACGGCCCTTTGGATCAATCGCACATCCACCAATCAACACCTTACGGAGATCGAATCAGAGGATCAAAATAGAGAGAGATTGTAACCCAAAATCATCAAATACTAATATTTGTTTGTGCACGTTTGTTCTTGTCTCTTTCGTTTTCAGGAATTTTCCGTGTTCACAAAGGGATGGGGAATTGGGATTTGGATTCTCTTTGTGAGGATCTATTTTATCTGTTTATCGTACATTATGCGGTTATAAATTATTATGAATTTTTTATTTAAAATTAAATACACAAAGTACATAACGAACGATAACCACATGATGTACGATGAACAGATAAGATGTAATTGTAGATATATATATTTATATATATACACACACACACTTTGAATATTCAATAGCTGGTCAGATCATTGTATGCAATAATAAATAATGACAATAATTGACGACTTGATAGCGAAACTGGGATTCTGCATGACTGATAGATTTCTGCAGACAGGTCCAATCTCTCTAATCTTGCGAGGTTTGATATCTTGGTTTGGAATGTTAGAAGTTGGTGACACTAATATCCAAATCTTCAAAATGTTTCAATTGGCCAATCTCAGTATGTACGTATATTGCGGTTCAGACTGTTTTTTTTCAGAGTTAAATTTCTTGTGGCACGTTGGACATAAACTTTCACTGTAAAGTAAAGCAGTTAAATTGCATATGGAATGCTTTTTTTTTGTTTTGGGTCAATTGCCTGTGGAATGTTTGAGTTGCAGCCTTTTGCAATATTAGCCCTCGTAGTATGGAGAGCATGGAGGAATAAATTAGTTACGGACTCATCATTTCTTATATTTGAACTTAACATCTTATTTACAAATGAAATAATATCAATAAATTGTAATACTAAGTAACTTTAATTTTAGATATTTTGTCAGCTAGACATACGTTGTTATATAATGTTTATAATTCATTGGAATGTGGACTGCACATCTTCAAGTAAAAATCATATCATTAATAGGAGAGATTTTTTAATGTGTTCGGAACACGAAGTGATAAATTACGCATCACTAGTGCAAGTAGTAAGATACTTGTGTTAAAAATTAACAACTTAAAAAATAAAACTTCCTTTCATTTATAATGACACATGGTATGATACTTGTATTTGATGAGTCCATATTATATTATATATTTTACTCTATTCTTAGTTATAGTTTTTTTGGTAGAATTTTGATATTTTGTTATGTATTTTCAATGTAGAACATTCGACTTCCTCTGGAGTAAAAAGTGATCAAACGGACAAATTTTGGAGTGATTCTAACTGGAGGATGTTCGTGAGTCTTTCAAGATGATTGTGTCAAAATTCCATATTTTTCTACCAAGCCGTTTGACTGTGGTGATGAAATA